GTTGAGGAAACCACGGCCGAGGTTCGGACCACAACTGCTACCGGGTAACCCTCTCGACAGCACGGCCCCAGCAACAGATACAAGCTCTGGGCGTACCAACACGCGTGTTACTGCTCCAGATGTCCTCTATCGATTGACTTCCCAACTTTCAGCACTTTTGAAACGCAAAGAAATCATTTCAGCAGCCGCCATGTCGCAAGTGTTGTGTTGAGTTTTGAGAATATGGTTTGACTTGGAATTAATTGAGGGAGGGAGTGTGGAAGCTGCAATCTTTATGTCCACGTGATCCTGCTGTTGCTGACACCCCTTCCATGCTTAGCCCCGATGTCGTGCACTGGCGTCAGGCGAATGATATTTAACTTGCAGTAGCATGGATAGCCCCCAGACTGGTTATCATCAAACCGGGAGGTGATCACAGGCAGTGGTGCGGCGTTCATGTCGGCCTCGGTACAACCAACTGCGGTGGAGGATCGTGGAGTTCATTCGCATTCAGCTATCTCCTTTGTCTCGCGGCCTTTCCTTGCATACCGGAATACCCGCACCCACGTCATCTTCAACCATCCAGGATAAAGTACACAACCGAAGAACAACTCTAAGCGCGTGGGACCTGTGGATGAAAAACACATCCTCGGCCACGTCGTGAACAGGCGACAGAAGACACATCACACACCGTTCTTCTCAGTCGCGTACGCCCCCCCACCCATCCCGGCAGGGAGGCCCACGGAACCACAATCGCGTTTACGTTTACCTCAACCAATCTACGACAAGTACCCGGTGAAGAGGTCGGAGAGTGGAAAGGTAAGGCCGCACGCCTTCCCGTTGCGTGCACATCGCGAAATCCTTTTGACCATACAACACTCACGCTCGGGGACGTGTGTTGTTCAAGGTCCGCTGTAGAATAACCTCACTCTGTCCTTGTCGTAGTATAGTAAACCGCTACCCTTTTCGGGGCTCGTGCTTCAACAATGATTAACCCATCCAGCCACGTGATGGACAGCCCACCAAAGAGGCACACCTCCGCCATCACGAAAAATCGGCGATATCGTTCGTACGGTGACGGTGGCGTTGCCCCGGGTACAAATGCGACGTCAACTTATTGAAACCCAGGAGCAAACTAAATGGGAAAGCAATACCCACAAGGAGGTATCGCAGAACGCTTCATATTCCACAAGTTGGGGTGACAACCAACATTCTTTCAGTAATTATACTAGCCAAAGATCCTCGGTCTCAGCGACCTCTCCGTAAAACCCATGTCAAGGAGTTTGGCAGAAGTCTTGACACAAACGTCATCGCACGCCAGATGTCAGCTTTCAAGAGATTCCTGAAGCAACTCGTACGCTTTACGCTGCTCGTCTTGGACCTTCTTGAGGCGTTCGATCAAAACGTCTTCATCCTGCTCCATCTTTTCAATCATGCGCTCTGCTTCTTGTGTCTGCAAACACGCGTGGCCGGCGGGGGGGGCTTGTTTAGGCCGTATACTGTTACATAGGATGTGGCCGCGGTGGCACTGGGCAACATTTGGGTGCCTTTAACCCTGAGAGTTTTGGTTCAGCATATGTACGCCCCAAATAAAACATCAGAAGTGCGCCTTGCAAGAAGGGAACCGCCTGCTTGTGAGGGAGGTGTGTCGCAATACGGATGGATTGTGGGGATCGGTTATTGTCTCCACTCTTCTGATCAGATCCAAGCGCAACTCCAAAGAGACAAGGCATCAACTTCCGAGCGCAAAGCACGGCCGCGTTGGTACGCCTTCGGCGGGGTAGGTCTACATGAACGCGGTCTGTACACTGCTCGCCCCAGAAGGAAACAATCACCCAGATCCAGTCACACCACATTGTGCCAACACACAACAGAACAACAATCACCACCATCTACCCCCATTTCCCGCATTGCCGTCAAGGCTATGCCAGATATTGCTCCCGCCGTGGTGTGCAGGAATACCTTTTTTTTCTCGGCTTCGATTCGCCGGCGGTGCTCTTCTTGCTGCTTCGCTTCCCTCTCCCTCTGTTCGGCCTCCTTCTTTAGGCGAGCTTCCTCGCGCTGCTTCCGGACCATCTCGGTCCTCCGTCTATTCTCCGCGGCCTTCTGTGCTCGCAGCTCCTGTCAAGCAGCAAGTGAATCCAACCCGGGGTCGTGTTCGATGAAAAGCCAACCGACAGGCTTGGGGCACTGTTGTCGTACTCTGGTGGCTAATGCTTCTGAGTACATGGTTACCCCGCGTTCTTTCGGGTGGCGAATGACATCATTGATTGCGTATCTGACTCGACCTGGACACGTCTACCTGCTGCAGCTTCGATAAGGCTGATGGCCAGTTTCGGCTATCCTTCCCGGAGATTTCCGCTGGGAAGGGAATTGTTTTTTTTTCTATCGACTGTCTCTTCGACTGTGTACGTACGTGCCTATGACAAAGGTGCTTTGATTGATCACGCCCAAGATTTACTTTGACGCAATGCAATCCCTTGTTACAAGGTTGGCAAGTATTGGAAGTATTGCTTCCATTCGGAAAATTACGTTTTTTTCACAACGAGGTTCTTCCGAAGACTGATGGTGCTGACGCTTCTGAAGAAGAAGTAGATACTTCAGCATCAGCGACGAAGCGGCATGCTAGGCACCTGGTAGGTCATTTGCAACGCCTGTCGCTGTTCTCTAGCAGACTTTGCGTTGGTCCTCCTTTGCTTCTCCAGGTTGGCCTTGGTGGACTGCAGACACCAGCGTGTGGGGTTGGAGGAGGGGGAGTCCAGGAGGAGGACCGGCAAGGCAAAACAATCCATTGTTGAGAGAGACTATCCAATGAACTGTGTGTCATGAAACCCAGGAAATATCGTGTCGGATCGAATCCCTCATGTAATGCGTCACATTTTGAAATCGTTATGGTTTATGGGAGTACGTAAGATGTGTCTCGGGCAGCTTCCCGGGGATCGTATTCCTGACGTTCGAGCACCCTTTCTCTCTCCAACGGGACCTGCACCTGCAAGTCATGTTGTTGCTTCTGCTTCCTTTGCGCCAGAGCTCGCTCGTGGTTACTGCTATTTCTGCCCTGCGTCCGCGCATTGTTCTCCCGTTCAAGCGCAAGTTGCTGGTTCTGCTGTTTCAGTCTCTTGATCTCCATTGCGCGCTGCGACAAAAAGTGGCGAGCCGCGCGTCGCAATACACAAGAGGCAACACCTTAGGGCGGTACCTTTGGGCTAGGATGGCAGTAGGATTGTCATTAGTTAAGAAGGATACTGGGGGCATCACTTAGCATCGACCAGCTTGTAGGGAGAAACCATGTAGGTGCAGAGGGGAAGCCAGTTCTGGTTGAGCCACTTCTCTTCCGAGTTGGAGTGACGCACTTTCTTGACTCCAAGAAAAATAAAGGGTTTTAGTCTCTCTGCTGCTCATTGTTCGGGGCTGAGTGGTTCCGCCGAAAACAGTTGACTTTACTGGTTTCGCGAGTGTCAAGGTTTTTTCCGAACCTCGCCGTTCATGTGTACCTTGCATAGCATTTGCTGACTCGGCTTGGTTCGAACTACAGCACTTAATCATCCATTTTCGAGGACGCCTAATGCTCGGCCCTGTGGTCTAGTTGGTATCCTCGACACCTCGTAGAGGTCAGGTCAGGGGTTCGAGTCCCGGCGGAAGCGAGCTTTTCTTGCCAAGTAAGTTTTTCTCTCGCTTCCGCTCCTGGCATGGTGGATAGCGCTAGTTCGTGTGTACATAGCGGGAAGACAGTGCTGAACTCTCCTCGCGTTAAAAATTGAAGGCAAAGTACCGCAGAAGGGGAGGGTAGAGAGGGGCTCTTCTGTGTGACCACGGGTAGGAGTAAACGGCACCAGTGCTGTGAGCGCTGATTTATTGTCAAGACAAAAAAAAAAAAATGCGAAAGGGAGGCCTGGGTGACAGTTTATGCAGAACTTTGTGCTCGATTACTCTTGACAACAATAACAATCGAGACATCGCTGCACAGAAGAATGAAACTCTACCGTCATATGGGTCTCTGAAAGCAGTCGCACGTCTTCACCAAATCACAGGCGATCCAAGGGTGGGCAAAATACATGTATGTAAACCTGTTTCGTCTCTTCCGTTTTTCGTCTGGCTTTCTCCTCCTCCGCTTGTAGATGAGCTAGCCGATTTGCTAGGAGGTGGACGTCAGCTTCTGCTCTCTTTCTTGTGTTCTTGGCTTCCAGCATGAGGTTGGCCGTAGCACGAGCAGACATCGAGCCTGTTGACGGCCTCTTTGGCCCCATGCCCTGCGTGAAATGACCGTAGAAACAGCGAGTATTCCCTGCATGCTGATGTACACCCTGCGTGCAGGTAACCCATGTGGTGTCATGCCATCCATGATGCTTCTACTGTAAATTTTCATGATCTATGCAAACCACTACGTAGACATTGCGGACCACAGGCATGAAACAAAGCTAACGAGTGGCAAAGACAAAGGTTGGCCAACGACTGCTGTTGTATTGCGTCGACATATTGGGTGCCCAGTGCTGTTCGTAACCGACCAGCTGGAAGCGGCAAGGCTATTGTAGTCTACAGTGGAACACACCCTCTAGGCAGCTACGTGTACTATGGTGCGAGCTCACAACCCAATCATTGACTCACCATACGCACATGCTTATTTTTCAAATACGAGCCAGCCACAAGGCACGTTGATGAGTTTCTCATGAACAACAACAAGCTTTGCGACACATGGACATGATGGCCGACTTCTCACCTTTGGCGGAGTGGTCATCATCTCGTCATCGTACTCGCCCTTGTCCTCCCCCACGCTACCAGTAACCTCCGGTTCGCTCATACTCGCGGGATCTATTTACCCATAGATTGTCCACATGCACTGGGATGTTGGAAGCACGTGACAGCAGGATCTTTTCCCTCTCCCTCTTCGAGATGAGATCTTTTTGTCCGTTTCGTGTTCTCCGGAGACGCGTGTTTCTATGGAAATGTTGAGGCGTTCTTGGTTGGTGATCCGTCGTCACCCCCGCGGGAGGAGGGCGTTCATGTTGATGCTCTAGTGGCGTCGTTGGAATGCAAGAGATCATGCCCGACAGAGAGAAGAGTAGTCTCACCATGCGGTACCGTATCAGCGTACTCGCGTGCTACTGCTTTCTCTCTCGCGAATCGTCTGCTTTCGTTCCAGCAGTGAGAGTGGGCTCGTCTTTGCAACATCATGCTGCTGGGTCGCATGCAAGCAGCAGCAGGCGGACAGTTTCCTCTAAGATGCAAGCAGAGCTCGCAGCAGAAGTAGACACAATTAACGAGGCAGCGGAAGGTGATGGGAAGAAGAAGGTCGTCGTGATTGGTGCGGGATGGGCCGGGCTTGCTGCGGCTTATGAATTGTCCAAGCAGGTGTGCATATGTCGGGGGGGGAAGTTGACGCTGACGTGTCGCAGAAACCGGAGTTTGAATTTGAAAATTCTGTGCCGTCGTCACACCCACGTTGCTCAGGTGTGGAGCTGGACTGCTACTGTTCGCCAACTTGCACGGAAAAGCACGATTAGTCAACCACTACGTAGTACATTCCAATTGGCCCCATGCGTTATGTACGCGTCATTGTGCTCTTGTTCGTGCTGCTCGCTCGACCCGCATAGAGCGGTATATTGCTTGGCAGTTGCAGTTGGGCGCCGCTGCAGGTTGACAACCGGCAGACCAAATAATGGATCGCGCGCTGTGTACGACCGAAGTTGTAGTTTCAAACGGGAGTCGGTACAGGCCTCTTAGTAGATGCCCAACGCTATTTACCCGTGTGGATCTAGAAGGTTGAGAGCTGCTCCGTGATACCGCACGTTTTTGTTGCCTTTGCACTATCGACTGATGATGTAGTGTGCTTGACATAGATCGCGCCAGGGTTGCTTTCGATCCAGCAATCCCGTCATCTTCGTTGGTTTTGGCTATCCTTCCCTCCTCTTCGTTAGTGCGAGAAGCAGTCTCAGTTTTGTGTGACGTCGCCGACATTCTATGTGTTGATGTTGAACACAGGAGTCTGCTTTGTGCCTCCTGCATGAGTGCAGTTAGACCACTACACTGTAGTCAGCGCTGACTGGCGATCTAGCGGTCATCAGAGACTGCGTTTTTCTCCCAAGGTAAGGAAGTGCTAAATAGCATTCGAGCCTTGCCATGTGGGCTCTCACACCCTGAAGCTATGCTCCCGGTTGCGAATTCTATACAACGATAGATCAAATACTCCGAGCCCCACCAGGCCGGCTGCTGCACGATCGCCTCTCTCTACTGTGCTGCGTAGACTTGACAGAAATTGCGTGCCACTCATTCACCCCCCCCCCCCGCTCTCCTTCCNTGTGGGCTCTCACACCCTGAAGCTATGCTCCCGGTTGCGAATTCTATACAACGATAGATCAAATACTCCGAGCCCCACCAGGCCGGCTGCTGCACGATCGCCTCTCTCTACTGTGCTGCGTAGACTTGGCAGAAAATGCGTGCCACTCATTCCCCCCCCCCCCCGCGCTCTCCTTCCCTCGGCTCCGATGCCGTTCCGCCCCGACTCATCCCCACTCGCCCCGCGCGCGTGCGCCGGACCGCGCTTATTCTTCCCGCGGGTTCATGATACCTCTTAGAATGACGATTTTGACGTTACGCTCCTGGAGGGGGGCAAGTCTGTCGGAGGGCTGGTGGCGGGCTGGTTGACGCCGGGCGGAAGGCCCGTGGAAGCGGGTGTCCACGGCTTCTGGTACGACGGATGCGATGCTGTTGTTGGTTGCATGCATAAGACTACAGTGCCAGGTATAGGTTGGAATGGCGGCAATATTCTATTTCCCTTGATAGACAACACCGAACCACCCAGGTGAAGAAATAAATAAATAGTAGCACGCCGTCTCGATAGGCATGGTAGCAGAGAGGCTGCGTGCTATGTATGCATACGTGGTGCCGCACCACACCCACATATCACCGTCGAGAAGCCGGAAACGCCTGTTGAAACAGCGGCACGAAGCAACAATGTCTTTTTTTTGTGTGCAATCAAGTGAAACATGCGATCGAGCTGTAGGAACGAACCGGGATGACGTCCGTTCAACTCGCTAATCAGAAGTCAAACCTGACCCAGAAAAAAACTATACAACGTTCCCCTGCGGGAGTTGGGTCATCTGCCTGCCGGGGGCGACGCACGAGGACATGGCCAATCAATGTCATCGCGGGTTGGTCGTCATGACGTATCGGTAGTGGGGGTTTGCGTGCAACCTGCGAACTAATTCGCCTGGAATTTGCATCATATGCCGGAGTATTTTGTTTTCTCCTGCCGTGACTTTTCGCTTCTGCGCGAGTGTGTGCTTTTAGGCTAGCGACGTCTGCTGCAGGTCCTACTGCTGCAATCCGCTGCGTTCGATCACTACTCTTTTTGTGTGATCGTGTTTCCCGTGATCTATGGGTCGCTTTCACGCAAACGCCAACAACGGACGAATAATAGAGACGCTCAACGTGCCCAAGAAAAGTCACAGACAGACGCAGACTGCTTACCTACCGTACCACAAGTCTATTTTTGAATTTTTCAATTTTTCGGAATCAAAGTTTTAATGACCGCTGCCAGAGTTGTGCGACAGGACTTCTGTGTCGCGTGGGGTGTTCCCATGAGCAGCACCAGAGTCTCGGTCCCCGTTGCGGGTATGCATGCGCCCGTGCTGTGTGGTGGATGTGTACACGACAATCACAGCAGTTGTGTGGGCGCGTGGGCGCGCGGTGCGGAACGCGGAAAATGAAATCTGTTTTCAGTTTTCATCCTGATTTTTATTGTTCTGATTCCCAACCCCTGACAAGAGAGCCAGTCCCGGCGACTTCAGGCGGCCCTAACGCGCACCACCGGTGTCTCGCGAGCCCCACATGTAACGGGAAATGTACCGACGGGTCCTCTGCGTGCCATGAAGAAGAAAGTGCGAGAACAAACGCTGCCCCAGCAGAGAAAAACGAACCGGATAACCAACAAAGTCGAAATGCTTCTTATGCATATATATATATATATATGTTGTACCCGGCAGTCAATCGACCGGCTTGTTCGACTGACGGAAGCCCGGCGTTTTTCTACGGCTAGATCTCAGGGGTTACTGGCCATTCAAGGACGAAATTGTCTCTTCGGATCTACTATGGCTTGCAAAGAATGAGCAGCGATGGCGACATCGGCGTAGAGGAGTTGTTCAGGGACTACCGGCTTTCCCGGGGGGGGGGGGGGGTACTCATT